AATGCATTTTGATATATTTGAATACTTTATTATAATCTTCGAAATTAAGTGCCGACTTTTGTCATCATTTTCCGCAAAATAAATTTGATCCCTGTGCTAAATACCTCTAAATTTCCAATTTGGTCAGATTCTTATAATCATATGCATTTGCTTTGTAAATGAATGTTTTTCATTGGATAATTTAAAAGTTTTTGTTATTTATTATATTTTATGATGAATTTTAGTTCAAACTTATGTATCTTTTCTTTTGTTGACTAGTATAGAAAACTAAAGATTAAGCAACATCAACAAAATAATAGCGTGGAAATGTCATAGCCGGTCACATTTATGCAAAAAAGAAAATGTGGCATGATTGGCTAAGAAACAACTATCCACAATAGACCAAATGACACGGAAATTAACAGCGTTAGGTCACCTTATGGCCTTCAACAATGAAGAAAGTCCATATCGCATAGTCAGCTATAAAAGGCCCCGATTTCACAAATGTAAAACAACTCAAACGAGAAAACCAACGGCCTAATTAATGTACCAAAAAATGAACGAAAAACAAATATGTAACAATTACAATTTTATTAATATAGAATTGTGTTAGTAATTAGATAATTAATTGTTTTATCTAGCTATGACGGTATTTCTTCTTAATCAGACTGTAAAACAAATAAATCGTGTACGTATAGTTGCCTCAAACTAAAATATTATAGATGAACTGGGTGATTAATTATCTTTACTTTTATATACGAATAGAAAATTAAAAAAATTAGAATTCAGCTACAAACGATAAGACATTTAACAATATCCGATCAGATTTACAAATACAACATCATAACTAAATATATTAATGTTGGATAACAAGTACCCTGACAAGTCTTAAAGTAATGCGAAATCACACTCAGCAAAACAGACACATTCGGGAATAGGTCGTCACGTTCGGTAAGTAAAAGACCAGACGACGTAAATGGCAAACAACAATCTAAGACGTGGTAAAAATGTCCTTAGTTAGTTTAGACAGACACACATCGTATGGATCAACCAATTCGTGATGGTGTTCATAAAATTTACGGAGTGTCATTTTTAATCGTTCCTCCTTATAACTTTGTTGGATCAGTTTCTACGTAAAGAGCACACTTCTGTATATGAAGTCCGTATAGTGTGAACATGCACGAGCATAACGTATCAACTGAGATATGTAAACACCATACGAAGGGGCAGAGGGTATGTTACTGCTGAGAAATGGGAAATTGTTTTTGTTTTTTAGAAGGTTCTGAATGAATTCCGCTTCATACGAGTACAAAAACAAATCGGCCAGTAAGGGTGCACAATTAGTACCCTAGGCTCTTTAATTTCGTGGTTTTGCAGGAGTCTGCATACAATCCTATAGAAAATCTGTTATTCGTTTAACATTTAATTTTGTTGTTCACCTGTACCCACGAAATTCACGAAAATTGGTATCCAACGAATTATAATGAATCCACAGTAACAAAAACACGTGGATGTGACCGGTACTTTAACATCCCAACAACAAAAAGACACTAAGTACAGATCTGAGAGTACTAACAGTTACTGGCAGCTAGTTCAAAGCCAATAACAACTAATATAAAAAAATCTTTCATCTAAGACTTAAGTATCAATCATTACACATCCAACATCCAATGGATTTAGTGTAAAGACGTCATTAACAGTCAGAGAAAACTTCATAAACAGTCAGAGAAAACGTCATATACAGTCAGAGAAAACATGATATATGGTTTCGGTCAAATATGTGTAATAGTATTTATCAAACCTAGATAAGAAGGACTTGTTGTACATACTAGCTAGTTGTTACAGGTACTTCTGCCGGTGTCATCGCCGATCAAAATGAAGATATTATTTTTCATGGTGTATATGTCGTATATGTTGTACACTGGGATTTCAAAATTTATCATATGTGCTTTGTCCAATAGAGAGTTAAAATTGAATATAATAGAAGATATAGAAAACTGTCTCAATAATAAAAAACTGTAAACTATAAGTTCATATACCACAGGTTCGGGGGCTCATTCTACTGCATCTTCACAGTAAGAACAACAAAGCCTGCAACCAAATAAAAGTAAGAAGATGTGGTATAAATACTAATCAGACAACTCTCAACCAGATACCGACCGTGCAAGGGCTTTACAGCTAGTCAAGGTCGTTCAAAATTTCCATTTGTTGTTGTCAACCAGAGCCAATAGAATTTTAAAAGTATTGATAAAATTTTGACCGTACAACAATAGCTCAATCTACATTTTTTAAATGAAAAACAACTTTGTTTTTAATGCATCTTCACCTAACAATGCATGTAAATAAGACGAAAACATGTCTCATGGAACATAAAATAATATGAAAATAAAGAAAAAAGTTTTAAAAGAATTTTAAAAATCGACAAATGCACCACTTAGTCTAATTACTACCACATTTTATATTAATTAGTATTGTAATTTTCATTGTTATTAATAAATGTTATATGAGTATTTTAAACCAAATCTTGATTTCTTTCCTAATTCTATCCTATTTTGGGGAAATTTCAGAAATTCAAATGTGACGTCACATTTTTTTGCGTTGATCTCTTTGGCTAACTCGGCTGTGAATTTTTATGTGCTGGTTTATGTTGTTTTATGTATCCTTTTTTATTCTGTAGTTAGTCACCACTTCGGTGTTATCATGTATATCTATTATATAGTCATTTTTTTTTTATAAATTTACTGTTTACAAAAGTATGAATTATTCTAAATACTAAGGATATTCTTATCCCAGACATATAACCTTAGCCGTATTTGGCACAATTTGGAACTTTTGGTCCTCAATGCTCTTCAACTTTGTACTTGTTTTGGCTTTCGAACTTTTTTGATCTGAGCGTCACTGATTAGTCTTGTGTGGACGAAACGCGCGTCTTGCGTATTTAATTTTAAACCTGGTACATTATGTTTGCTGTTATTTGTATGTTTCTCTGTCCTATATGTTCTCCCATTTATTTGTATTGTAGTCCTGTCATGTAATGTTGTCATTTTAATGTTATATTTAACATTGCCATAAAAGCGAGAGGTTTGGCTAGCCACAAAACCAGGTTCAACCCACCATTTTTTTCTTAAAATGTCCTGTACCAAGTCAGGAAAATGACCATTGTTATATTATAGTTCGTTTCTGTGTGTGTTACATTTTAATGTTGTGTTTCTGTTGTGTCGTAGTTCTCCTCTTATATTTAATGTGTTTCCCTCAGTTTTAGTTTGTAACCCGGATTTGTTTTTTCTCAATCGATTTATGAATTTCGAACAGCGGTATACTACTGTTGCCTTTATGTTTTACCAGAATGTCATAAATAAAAACATACATAGATATTTTCTATGTATGTGCTTGTCCCAAGTCAGGAGCCTGTAATTCAGTGGTTGTCGTTTGTTTATGTGTTACATATTTGTTTTTCGTTTATATTTTTTTGTACATAAATTAGGCCGTTAGTTTTCTCGTTTGAATTGTTTTACATTGTTATAGCTGACTATGCGGTATGGGCTTTTCTCATTGTTGAAGGCCGTACGGTGACCTATAGTTGTTAATTTTTGTGTCATTTTGGTCTCTTGTGGTGAGTTGTCTCATTAGCAATCATACCACATCTTATTTTTTAAATATAGATAATAGTGAAAAATAAATGACATTTTCAGTGATAAGTAGGGACCATTCTGATAAATGGTTATCTCATAGATTTGAGATATGAAGAGACACTGAAGATAACACATTTATATGTAAACTGAATGTTTATCTGAGTTGTGTTTGATCTTTATGTAATAATAAACAATAAAAATGCAAAAACAAGGATAAGACAAAACAGGAAGAGGTAGGCTTAGAAACATAATTATAAAAATCTAGCATTAAAATTAGATATTCCCATATGTTATTCAATTTTTTTCATTTCATATCTATCATAACCTCGTATAATGTTTGATGTGACGAAATCTATTTTTATATGTACCTCATCACTGTCTCTGTTCAATAATAAAAATGTGCCTAAGCGGGATTGAATTGTCTTTCATATTTAGTGTTACGATTTATATGCACTTCAAACAAATGTGAATACCATATCTAACTTTACCAAGGTTTTATCAGACTTGTATTCCAAGGTCAATCTAAACTATTTTCATACAAATAACTTTATACGCAATAATAGAGATGCCAGAAATAACCCCAATATTTCGTATAACATTGACAATAAGTCGTACATTATAATGTTAAGACAATAAGAATCGTCGATACGAGGATGGTATTTCCCCGATTGGTTTATCACTAAACACATCAATGAAGGTCGTAATGGTGTCATTATATTTTGATTACATTTACTGTTCAAAAATTATAATAAATAACACTTATAACTCTGACAGTGGTTTAAACAGTTCATTTAATTGTGTACGTGTAATATAGAATTATCAGACATCAGGTCTTTGATTATTGTTTTTATTGGGTAATGATACAGTTATCACTTTCTTTATGCCCTATTTAAAGGATAATAACAGGGTTTTTAACTTTCTAAATATAGTATGTATAGTGTGATAAGAGGTTTGTCACTTTCGTAATGCCATTTTAAAGAGTGATGCTATGGTTAACGTTGTCACTTTCTAAATGCCATATCAATAGGGAAAAACTTGGATTGTTACACTTGATTTTCTGGTTTTTTTTTTTTTTTTTTTTTTTTTAAATACGATGTATCTCAAAAATTTTTGCGTCGCATGACTACTTTCAACCAATGTAACAGATGTACCAAATAGAAATATATTAACGTCGCGATTTAGATCTTGGAATGTGATGTGGGATATGAAGTAACACTTTCTATATATATATATATATAAACATTTGGTTGATGTCAAATATATGTAATAGTATTTATTGAACCTACTTGTATTGAAGTTGTTCATAATGTTAAATAATCTTATAGATAAAAAGGACTTGTTGTACATACTAGCTAGTTGTTACAAGTTCTTCTGCCTGTGTCATCGAGAATGGTCGCCAATCAAAATGAAGATCGCCGCTATGGGTGTGGGCCAATAAAATTTAGGTAATCTTTTTTTTTATATATAGTATTCATTAAATAAAGGCAACAGTAATATACCGCAGTATAATAGTTAAATTTGTTTAAGCAAGAAATAATATGAATAACAAATTAAATCCGGTTACTAATTAAATCAGAGAGCAACACATCAAATATAGGACGGAAAAGTAAAATCACAAAAATACTGAACTCCGAGGAAAAAGTAAAATCACAAAAATACTAAACTCCGAGGAAAATTCAGATCGGTAAGTCCCTAATGAAATGGCAGAATTAAAAAGTTCAAACACACCAAACGAATGGATAACAACTGTCATATTCCTGACTTGGTACAAACATATTCTTATGTAGAAAATGGTGGATTAAACCTGGTTTTATAGCTAGCTAAATCTCTCATTTGTATCACAGTAGCATCAAATTCCATTATATTGACAACGATGTGTGAACAAAACAAACAGACATGAAACACGGGAACAACAGAAACACTGAACTACAAATGCAAACGGACCATCTGATAACAACTGCCATATTCCTGACTTGGTTTGATGATAACTAATCATAGTTTTTTTTGGGTATGTTTAATAGTTCAAAATATTACTTGTTATAAAAATAAGAAAAGGTAGTATGATTGTCAACGACGTAGACAGGCTACCATACGGCTTTCAATAAAAAACAAAACCCATATCGTATAATAAGCTTTAAACGGCCCCTCAATGACAAAATATATTTCAAGCGAAAAACAAAGGTCTTATTTGTGATAAAACAATTAAACGAAAAACAAATATGAAAGGCAGCAATCAGTGTTAACCACTGAACTACAGGCTCCTGACTTGATGTTCATTCACATTGTAATAATAATAAGTCTGTTTAACGATGGATGTTCAGCATCTTGTATCTGATCTTTTTCGTACAAAATATTAATCTTGTCATTATCTTATAATTTATCATAATTTACTTTACTTCCATTAATCCATTATTTTATGTTTTTATCGAACACCCTTACCATCACCATCTGCTTACCCTTCTGACACACATGAGATCACCCCCGTTTTTGTGCGGTTCGTGTTGTTCTATGTAGCGTTTTGTAGATCGTTGTTTGTCTTTTTATGTTTTTCTTTAAGGCCACGATGTTGTCTGTTATTATTGTAATTATATTTGTTATTGTCATTAAGGTATCTTCTGCATTTTTACAAATTATACATGACTTTTTATATTCAGTTGTATACAGAGACTGAATTCAATCCGATGGCACGTTTTCTGGCAATGCATTTTCAACTTTTTCGGTGGATTCATTGTAAGTGGCGTGGTGAATGTAATCATTCCAGCTCTAGAAAAACGTTATGAACTGTCTAGTTCAAAATCGGCCATCATCGTCAGTGCCAATGATTTTGGAGCTTTCGTACTATTAATCTTTATCGGTTACTTTGGAGAAAGACGCCATAAACCTAAACTGATGGGGTCTGGAATCTTATTAATGGCGTTTGGTTGTCTTGTATTTTCTCTTCCGCAGTTTATCGGAGAAAAGTATGCTTACACAATTTCAGGTATGAATATTTCTCACGTGTCATTACATCTAAGCAGATTTCTTATTTGTTTATACACAGAGCTTATGTAAAACAGACCTCGATAGTTGAGAGGTATCAATTACACAGTTTTAAAGACATCTTCACGTATAGTTACGATAGGAACTTGAATGAATTTAGATACTAAGGAATGATTTTCATGATTATAAATTGCCAAGACAAACTGTTTTTTTGTTGTTAAAATCATGAGGTCAGTTTAAAAATCAATGAAATGGTAGCACATATATATTATCATAGATCCGTTTTTTATTCTGTAGTTAGTCCTCACTTCGGTTTTGTCTGTAATCTATTATATAGTCATTTTATAAAATTTACTGTTTGCAAAATTATAAATTATTCTAAATAATAAGGATGTTCTTGTCCTAGGCAGAAGCCCTGGCCGTGTTAGGCGCAACTTTTTGGAAATTTTTGTCCTCGGAGCTCTTCAGCTTTGTACTTGTTTTGGCTTTCAAACTTTTTTCATCTGAGCGTCATTGGTTGGTCTTGTGTGGACGAGACGCACGTCTGGCGTATTGAACTTTATGCCTAGTACATTTTGTTACCTATTATTCGTGTGTTTCTTTGTCCTATATGTTCTCCCATTTATTTGTATTGTGGTCCTGTCATGTGATGTTGTCGTTTTGGTGTTGTGTTTGACGTTGCCATAAAAGCGGGAGGTTTGGCATGCCACAAAACTAGGTTCAACCCACCATTTTTTTTCTTAAAATGTCCTGTACCAAGTCAGGAAAATGGCCATTTTTATATTATAGTTCGTTTCTGTGTGTGTTACATTTTTATGTTGTGTTTTTGTTGTGTTTTTGTTGTGTCGTTGTTCTCTACTTATATTTGATGCGTTTCCCTCAGTTTTAGTTTGTAACCGGATTTGTTGTTATCTCTATCGATTTATGAGTTGCGAACAGCGGTATACTACTGTTGCCTTTATTTATATATCAAAAGGTTCTCTGAAAACAGAAGTTAAGCAATTGATTACTTAAAACAGCTTTAATAGTCAATACTAATAAATATGTGATTAAAGTAAATTTAAGATATGTTTCATTTCTACGACTTCGCCATCATGAGGTAAATAATATTGAAATAAGGGAGTTGCGATATCTAATTTTCCATATTTCACTAGATTCGTCTAAGAATTGGAGTGACAACCTTTGCAGCACAAGAAATACAACGTCTTCATGTTCATCGGACGTTGATGACATCAAAGAATACTTCAAAGCTTATTATGCCTTGTTTATTGTTGGACAGATGTTATTAGGAATAGGTGCTGTTCCCATGTTTACTATTGGGCTTAGTTATATAGACGAGAACTGTAAACAGAAATTAACATCATTTTATATAGGTGAGATAAATATTGTTGTTTGATGAATAGATATACTTACGATCTGAAAAAATTAATATTAGTGTTATGAATTTTTCTTTTATAAATTCTCAGCGATTTAAGACATAAAACAGATTGCTTACACAAAGTACTTGAAATTGCTTTCTTTTTTTAAGTTATGTTAAATTGGAAGTTAGAAATGATGATATGAAATAATTCGAAAGTGACATAATCCGGAGCGTTCTCTTACACATACATTTTCATAATGTAGCGAGATACAATGAAAGGTTCATAATATTATTCAATATTCTGTACATTAATTTTCAGGTTTAACATTTTGCTCAAATGCAGTTGGGGTTGCCATAGGTTACATCGTAGGAGGTAATGTTCTGAACGTCTTTGTTGACGTAGACAAATTTGACATAGCAAAGTAAGTACATTTGTTATACACAAAGGCGTCTTCAGTCGACTATTGACAATGTATGAATGACTGTGCAATTATTTGGTCGACAAAGGATTAAGAACAATAAAAAAACAAAGAACCAATCTAAAAGTATTCGCTGTTACTGAGAGCTAGTTAATAGTTATATTTCAACCGAAGAAGAAACCATTTTCCCTTTATGTTTTTCTTATGCATCTGCAGTCTTTGTTTTATTCATGTTCTTCCAATGTATCTTCCTATGTTTTGATTTATGTTCCGATTTAGTATCTTCCATCTTTTAGCATTTATGTTTGTCAAACTATCCTAGAAAAGAATTTATGTTCTTCCTTAAGTATTTTCAAACTTTTTCGGTACGTGTTCCTGTGTAAACCTTTAAAGTTTTACTATTCATGTTCTTTCTATGTTCTTAAACTTATTTTGATACTCGTTCTTCCACGGTATTTTCAAAATGATTTGATTCGTGACTTTTCGGCATCTTTGAAATATTTTGATTCACATGCCTTCTCGATATCTTTGAAATTTTTGATTCACGTGCCTTCTCGGTCTCTATGACATATTTTAACCCATTCGCTTTGTATGTGTTTTAACCTCACTAGTTCCTGTTTATCATGTGTATATAACCAAGTTAATCATTAATAAAAGGAGAGCAATATTAATGTTTTATTGTTTCAGCTTACCACTGACATCATCAGATCCGCAATGGGTAGGAGCATGGTGGATTGGAATCATAATAGCTGTTCCAGCATTTATTTTAGTTTCTTTTCCAATACTTGGGTATCCTCGACGTCTTCCAGGTAAATGCTGATTTTTTTATAGCTTAAGATATATCGAGAGTATCTACAAAACTTTCTTCACTACTTTAACATATCTACAGACATTTAATACACCATCTGTTTAGTAACAAGTAGTTCATTATTTATATGATTAAAATAAAACTTTTTTGTCTATTCAATGAAAAAAAATTGGCTTTATACTCTTTATTCATAATTATTGGTTTCCAACTTTATTTCAACAGCGTTCATATATTGAAGGTAATTTCACAAAAAAACGTGATGTTCCTTTTAATTCTGTTGACAGTTATGATTTTTCTACTCTCTACACTACACTTCTACACAATCTTACCAAGAAAAAGTTTTCATATTTAATTAAAAGGTCTTTTGAAAAATCTCATTGCAAATTTGTTTTGATGTAAAGCATTTTCTGTAACGAAAAAGGAAAGTATGCTAGACACACTCACTGGAAATGTGAAGATATGATAAAAGCTATAAATACGTTTCGGCGATAAAGTTTATCTACAGCTTGTAGGTATTCCTATGGGCACTAACTGTTCCCCTTTAATAGCAGATTTATTCCTATATTGCTATGAATCTCAGTTTATGACCAAACTCAGTAAAGACACGTCATTGTTACATTTGGTTGATACATTGAACAATACCTACTGTTATCTTGATGATATTGTTTCGTTAAATAATCCAGCGTTCTCTAAATTCACTACCGAAATTTACCCAAAGGAACTTACTTTATCTAAATCTAACATAAACAGCAGTAGTTGTGCTTTTCTAGATTTAGACATTTCAACTTCTAAAGAGAAACTCCTTATATAAATTTACGACAACAGAGACGATTTTCATTCCCTATTTTTATTTTTCCTTTTTTAGACAGCGATGTTCCTTTGGCTCCATCAAACTGTGTGTCTATATCCCAACTCGTGCGTTATGCCCGTGTGTGTAGTGATGTCATAGATTTTAACGAACGTAATCTATGCATCACTGGTAAATTATTAAGTCAGGGACTTCGTTACCATAAATAACTTAAAACTTTTATCAAATTCTTTCATAGATACAAAGATTTGATTAGTAAATAAGTGAAGGTTATCTTACCAATGTTGTAATTAGATCTTTGAATATAGTTTACATTGGCACAAATATCGATTTTGTCATCAGCAAATTAAAACGTAACTTAATTTGTATTCTTTTCTAACGGGATATAAAATCACACCCGTGTTCATTTCCATCTATAAAAAGTTAACTCCAAACTATCCTACTGCCTGTCGATACATTTTTTTTTTTTTTGCATTGCACAAGTCATGTCTTCTTTGACTGTCCATGACGTTAAAATACTTAATCCATGGAATGTGTTCTAGTTGATTTTAGTTTCTGATGCATGATTTTTTATTATTAATTGTTTATGGCATTTAGATAACTGTCAGTAACTGCGAGTACTCTCAAATCGTACTTTCTCGTTAATTCGACCTGTTGATACTATTTGTTATGCTTTTTTGTTATTTAATGTTTACTTATTCAGGGTTATATCTCGTCTACTAGTAAATACCAGTAGATAAATGTTTGATATTATAATAAATTTTCACTTCTTCGTACTATGGACAACAAAATTATTTGTTTTGTTAAAAATATTTACATTCCTCATTAAAACTGTATACCTTACAACAAAATTATTTTCATTTACCTGTGTATATCATTGTATTTGGCGGCTTTTTGTTCAAGTTTATTGTTTTTTTTAATTGTTTAACATCTCACAGCGGTATACTACTGTTTCCTTTATTTATTCACCCCTTATTTTATTGATTTTGTATTTACATTGTATCGTAGATCAAATTTATTCGTTCAGTGTATGTTCACTTGTTATGTCTTTTGATTGAGTCAAGCCATTTCAATTAATATTTTATAGTGTGTCTTTCTATGTTGTGATGTTACACTATTGTTCCAGATAAAGGTGAAGGTTGATACCTTATTAAAACGTTTGAACCCGCTGCATTTGTTTGCACCTGTCTTAAGTCAGGAATCTGATGTTCAGTAGTTGTCGTTTGTTGATATGGTTCATAAGTGTTTCTCGTTTCTCGTTTTTTATATAGATTAGAACGTTAGTTTTCCCGTTTAAATGGTTTTACACTATTAATTTTTGTGGCCCTTCATGGCTTGCTGATTGGTGTGAGTCAAGGCTCCGTGTTGAAGACTGTACTTTGACCTATAATGATAAAATTTAACAAATTGTGACTTGGATGGAGAGTTGTCTCATAGGCACTCATACCACATCTTCTTATATCTATCAAATGTTTTTTTCTGAACATTGAATCATAAGCTTGAAACAATTGTACATTTGCATTGGCAAGAGCAGCTACGAAGAAGTCAATCATGATAACCCTCTTTGGTATAACAACATGTTATAATGAATCATAATTTTTTTTCATCAACGACTGACATAGCTATTTGGAAATGCAATATGGCTACTGAAAAAACAGGTTATTGCGTAAATAAAATGATATTCAAAATTTCCTTTTGTCAGATTTTGTTTTTAATATTGACAAGGTTATAAAGAGCTTCAAAAGCAAAGACAGTCTGAAGCGTACGATAATGATGCGGAACAAATCACTGCACAAGCATCATTTGGTAAAAACTGGAAAGATTTTCCACGATCATTTCAGCTTTTGGTAAGGTTTGAATTCATAATATTATTGAATAATCTTGAGAATATCTATGAGGGTACACATGAGGGTAAATTGTTTGTGTTGCATATTCAGTTCTTTTTGTGGTGATAACCATATGCAAACATAATACCCAATCCTGTCCATGTGTTTGTTTTAAAAATTTTAATGTGAAATAGATTTTTTTTATTTTGTCCTGCTACACATTGATATAACACGTGATTTTAATAAAAAGTAATATCAAACATAATGACAAACTTTTTGCATTAATGTCCTTCAAGTAGTTACAGTTATTATTTTGGATGGAGATATTTTAGCATGATATATAAGGTTTGCAACCAAACTGATGTTTAAATCATTCATTCAAACAAACACACATATACATCGAAATTGATCGAAATTGTCTTTTAACGTTGCACTATTTGACTGTGTAATTCGTGTTGATTTGGTTTTTGTTAGTCAAACAATAAACTATAAACTTTTTATAAGCTACTATAACCTTTACGAACCTGTAGAATGATTTGATTGTGTAGTAATGCATATTGTTACTCTTTATATTTTATGGTCCAACAACCAAACAAGCTTAATTTATTTACATTATAAAAATTCAAGTGTATATTTTGTTATTCAACTGTGTTCCTCGTTTTATTGTTGTGTGATTTTTATATTAATGCACATTAACAAGGTAACGAATTTATTGAATAAAATGATCTGTGAACGTAACTCTCGTGTTTAGGTTTTCTCGACAATACATCATTTGAAGCATGTTTCCTATTGACTAAATAATGGAATTCAAATGAATGTTAAAGAAATGTACCGTGGCATTTGATTTTGCCTTTTTTTTATAAGAGATTTTCTGTGTTGAATTTTCTTTGAAGTGCGGTGTTTTTGTTCTTGTACTTTTTATTTAAAAATAAAACTATGATGACGCAATTTATAGTATTATTTATAATTTCGCCACATGTAGGATTTATTTTGATGAACATGTTTTTTTCCCTCAAGAAACCAAGTAAAAAGATGATATTGGTTTAACCGACGATCATTTACAAACAGAAACACTGACATATATCAGAAATACGTATCCTATGACCGAAAGACATATTCTATGTTTCAAGGATTTTTAAACTGTCTTTCAGATCAAGAACCCTACATATGTTTTCCTTTGTTTGAGCAGTGTGTGTGAAACTTTGCTTATTGGTGGCACTGCAACGTTTGTATCAAAAATAATACAAGAATTTTTCAATGTTGACCTAGCTACTGCAGGAATTATTATTGGTAATTCCAAAATGAGAATACTAATTATTGGATATATATGTATACTTTGAAACGATCGAGTAAGCACTAGTGAATAAACGGCAGGTAAAAAGATAATAACAGTTGGATCTGCATCTTTCGGAGGGCGATTACTCATTTATGTGAATATTGTTTATTCTGTGTGTAACACAATGAACGACTTATTTATCAGAAAAAGACATTAAAATTCGATTGTAACATTACGATTGGTTAACATTAACAGCTGAAACTATCCGACTGTTAATTGCAAGGTCTGAAAATTGCGTGTTTTTAAACTATAAAGGTTCAAGTGATTATCGCAACAAAGGTTTAAACTGATATAAGTACATGTATTTCCAGGCTGATTGAGTTGCCTTACATAATGTTTTTATTTTAATGTATGAATTAACATGGTATTTACGTCAATGAAGCAAAAACCCAACAACAGAAAACAAAACAAAATAAAACGTGTTGAGATTAGCATATCATCTCAAACAAAAGTCTTTTTTTATTATTTCATTATTTTGTGACAGGTGCTTTAACAATCCCTGGATCTGGCGGTGGAATGATATTTGGAGGATATATGGTTAAGAGGCTAAATCTGAAGCTTCGTGGAATAATATACTTTTGTTGCATTAGTATTGGCCTCGCAGCTTTACTTGGACCATCATTCTTAGCAAGTTGTCCGAGTCAACCACTTGCTGGAGTGTCAACAAACTACAAAGTGTGAGTTATTAGTTTTCTGACTTGTCATATAAATACTATTACTTTAATAGTCAAGGACATTACTACGGAAAAAATTGTAAAGTAAACAAAACGTAGCAATCAAAATAGAAATTACGTAAATATATTAAGACATAATTTCCCTGAAGTTAAGTTATAAATTTTATCTTTTAAACTGAGTTCGGAAAACTTAACAAAGAATATTATTTTCAGAGAAGTTGGAACTACCTTGATTGCTGGTTGTAATAATGAGTGTGGTTGCACAACAGCAGGGTTTGAACCAATATGTGATGAAAACAAATTAGTTTACTTTTCACCTTGTCATGCAGGTTGTAAAGAAGCTATTATTGCAAATGGAACAAAGGTAGTATATTTTGTATTTTCTTAAACACTTGAGTTCTGTAAACAACATAATTTTTGCAAGCGATTAAATGAGAAGAAAAATAACGCAACTATATACTAATCATCAGTCGAACCACTTTCAGATAAATGGATAACTAAAATTAAAAGAGTTGGTCCGCTTTTTTCCATGAAAAAGAATGGCCAATGTAGATACAAGTATCTTGTCTTACGGGAGGATAAATCATATATCGTAAAAAAATCATTCTGATTAAAAATAAAAATGACATTATCAAGGTGCTTGATTTCTTGATTGACAACATATTTGTTACGTTTAGAGGACGTGTTTTCAACAAACAATCTTTTTTTTTCATGTGAACAAACTGTGCCCCCCCATCTAGCCAACTGGTTCCTTTATTCATATACAGATGAATACTATATAGGTTTATTTTAGTCAACAGTATGCTCTAGCTTTCTGCTAGATGATGTTCTCTAACTAAATATTTCAAATTTGGTGACTATGTTAAAAGTATTATTATTAATAATTCAAGAGAGAGAGGTTTAGAAAGCTTTAAAACCAGGTTTAATCTACAATTTTCTACATAAGAAAATGCCTGTACCAAATCTGAATATCGTTTGATGTGTTTGGGCTTTTGATTTTGCCATTTGATTAAGGACTTTCAGTTTTGAATTTTCCTCGCAGTTCAGTATTTTTGTGATTTTATTTTCTCATTATCTAAGTTGAGTTAAAGGATACAATAGATACAGTTAAGTCCGCTTCATATCTTGAAATTCATCTAGATATTGTTAATGAACGTCGGTTGAAAACAAAACTTTACGACAAAATAGATATTTTGAGCTTTCCCATTGTGAACTTTCTATTTCTATGTAGCAACATTCCTGCAGCGCCTGCATACAGGGTATATATCTCAAATTGATACGATATTCCAGGGCTTGTATTTCCTTTCATGATTTCCTTGATAGAGGATTGCTTCTCACAAAGACGTTATGAAACCAAGAGTTCTAATTGGTGATGTTGAAATCAACCCTTCGTTATTTTTACGAACGCCATCATGAGTTTGTTGGCCGTTATGGAATATTCGTTTGAGATATGATAACGTATATGTTCCTAATGTTGTAATTACAATCCCGTTCCCTTTTTCCGAATGTGACCTTCAGAATTATTAATTGGTTTGTACTGATATAAGCAATACGACGGGTGCCAAATGTGGAGTAGGATCTGCTTATCCGTCTGGAGCACTTGAGATCACCCATAGTTTTTGGTGGGGTTGATGGTGCTCAGTCTTTGGTTTTTCATTGTTGTGTTTTCTTAACTTTTTTTTGTTTGTTTGTCTGTTTGACTTTCTTTTTAGCCATGGCGTTGTCAGTTTATTTTCGACTTATGAGTTTGAATGTCCCTCTGGTATCTTTTGTCTCTGTTTTAGTAGAATTCGCTAAATTGTTTAAAGGATCAAATGGAAACATAATTGATAACTTAATATGTTATCCTCATTGTTATGGAACATACTAGTATGTGAATTCTGACATTTCGGCTGTACTAAGTACAGCACATTACATGAAGAAATCTGTTACAAATCTAAACCAAACGAAATAATGTAACCGTCATTTTCTTTTTAAGTTTTACAATCAAATTAATACATGAATATAATTTCTTTATATATTTTAATCTATTTCAGTCGTATATGAATTGTGATTGTATAAGCCCAGCTCAAAACACCGTGTTGGCAGTGTCTGGTTCCTGTTCTGAAAAATGCAACTGGTTTTATGTGTTTTGTGTATTATTCTTCCTTATAATGTGGTTCACATTTTCAACCATGTCACCAATCGTCACAGCAATATTCAGGTATTATTTATTCTAATCAAAATTTTTATTTGTATTTCTATTATCAAAGCAAGTAAGTTAATTTTTGCCTTAAAAACATACAAACGGATTTACAGATCCTATTTAAAATAATTATTGAAAACAAAGTAACAAAAGTACCGAACTCCAAGGAAAATTCAAAACGAAAAGTCCCTTTTGAAATGACAAAATCCAAAGCTCAAACGAATCGAAAACAACTATCATTTTCCTGACTTGGTATATGCATTTCCTTGTGTAGAACATGATGGATTAAACCTGGTTTTGTAGCTCGTTAGCATGTCATTTGTATGACTCATACACTTCCATTATATTGACAACAATGTGTGAACAAAAGCAACCGACATAATAGGTAACAAGTCAAAAATAAGGGAACATCAGTCAACATTGTTGTATAATTTTAATCACTAACAAAACAAACAAATATTTCTTCAAAGAAAAACAAAATAGCAAATTGTCAAAGCACAAATAAAAACAAGAATACAAAAATTACCATAGCACAATCAAACAATGGCGGGACGTATAAATACCGAGCCACGCCAAACGGATTTTACCGAAAATGAACTAAGCAGTCAAGTTTAAATAATTTAGAAAGACAAATAAATTTCACCATCTGGTTGTTGACAAAGGAACTCCGACTCATATGACAATAAAAACAGGTCGGCAATGACAGGCGCGCAGTTAGTTTCAATAGGATGCCTACAATTTGTTTAAATTCAACACATATGTTGTCTATGAGAAACTCAAGCATACTGATCACTTGTTCCTCTGTGTTGCAGGTTTTACCCTTTTGTTTACTATTATCAAAATATGCCGTTAGGCATCCCAAAGTAAAAATTTAAAGCGTATGCTTCCTTTTTTATCTTGAAAAGCATTGTGGATTACGTGACTCTGTACTTATTTGTCCTTCATTATGACTCTGTGACGTGACTCTGTACTTATTTATTCCTCGTTGTGTTTTTGTTCTAATAATTTTGTATTCTTGTCTTTCATTTTTGCTAATGTGCTTTGTCTATATGCCTTTTTGTGTTTCTTTTATACATATGACGTGGATCTGTATTTATACATCCCGTCATTATGTTATTGTGCTATTGTAATTTTTGTATTCTTTTTTTGCTAATGTTCTTTGTTCTATATGCCTTTTTGTGATTCTTTGTTTGTTTTTATAGGGATTTAAGATTATAACAATCTTGACTGCTGTATCTCTATTTTTGACATTTTTACCTATTATGTCTGTTTGTTTTGTTCACACATCCTTGTCAATATAATGGAATTTGATGCGACTTTCATACAAGTGAAAGGTTTAGCTAGCAATAAAGCCAGGTTTAATCTTCCATTTTCTACATAAGAAAATGCCTGTACCAAGTCAGGGATATGAAAGTTGTTACCCAGTCGTTTGATGTGTTTGAACTTTTGATTTTGCCATTTGAATATGGACTTTCCGTTTTGAATTTTCCTCGGAGTTCAGTATTTATGTGATTTTACTTTTTATATCTTTTAGACGATTCTTCAATTTTCATGGGGAATGGTAATATATAGGGATGAAAAGTCAAAAGTTTTGATAGAATTAAAAGGATTTTTTTTCAGTTGCAAATATAATTTATTGATAACAACATTCCAAATTATTAAGATTAATTATTCATAACTCTTTAAAATGATACACATATTTGATTTTATTGACCATGCATTCCAGAAAATTATTGCATTAATTGAAAATAAGCCCATAGTAACTGAAATGCTTATTTAGAATTCATTTCGTCCCATCCTTTAAGCCTTGAAGTACATTTATTGATAATTGTCTGAATATAATTTACCTTGTATAACCCAGGAAAGTATACACAAGGGGCCCTGTGTTAAAAATAATCCATTGTTCAGGGATAAACGGTTGACTCTATTATGAAAAAAATATATTTTAGCACATAATTCACATTCTTATTCATTAATTTGTCCGTATGCAATGTATCTACAACTATCATACTATTGACAATTTTTCAATTAGACTTTGAAGTAATCCTTTTATTTCATTTAATAATTTACAAAACATGGTTATATTTGATAAATTAGATTTCTGCTCACAAGTTTTGTAGAATATGAGTATTTACGTGTTCTTTTTCAACAATTTCTTTTTATATTGGCTGCTATATTACAATATTGTTTTTTCTTTAAATGCAATTAAAGTGCACTTGTTCACATTATATCAAAATTCTGTTTCAAAAGAGGGGCGAAAGATACCAGAGGGACATTTAAACTCAAAGATCAAAAATAAACTGACAACACCATGGTTAAAAAAAGAAAACGATAAACAAAAAAATAATAGTACACAGGACACAAAATAGAAAACTAAAGACTATGCAACACGAACCCCACCAAAAACTGGTTGTGATCTGTAAAACGAATATTCCGTAACGGTCAACCAACTCGTGATGGCGTCCGTAAAATTTACGAAAGGATGATTTCAACTTCACCATTTGGAAAACTTGGTTTAATAGCTTCTTTGTGAGCAGCAACCCTCTATCTAGAAAATCAAGATAGGAAATACAAGTCCTTGAATATCGTATCAATTGCCAATTTGGTAAATATATGTACATGTAACACTCACAAACGAGTCCTTCCACCAGACGTGTCCGATTCCCCAAACGTGTCCTTAATATTCAAAATTCCCCAAACGTGTCCGATTTCATAACCCCCAAACGTGTCCAATAATTGTTATTCGCCAAAACGTGTCCACTATTAAACGCCAGAACGTCTCACGTCTTTTAGCGCTAATACATGTATGTCCTAAATGAAATTGATAACGTTTACGGCAATTCTATGATAGGGGATACAGGTGATGAAGTTGTCATTTATTAACATTATTGAGATCTAGTTAGTTCAGTTTACGGCAATTCTATGATGGGGGACACAGTTGATAAAGTGGTCATTTATTAGCATTTATCTGTTCAATGCCGGTTGTTAATGAATATCATAATTGCAAATTTAATCTGTAACATATGAATTAACTTTCGATGAAATTGCTTATTGTCCAGTTGCAAGTATTTCATGCTCATTTAGAGCGAACATACAAATAAGTCTAGAGTTGAACTAATCGTTTACTATGTAAATTATTTTGTACTAATAGACTCCGATGATGCCTTTTATAATAATCCAAATATTGCACGGCGGGTTTTCAGCAGAATTGACTTTTTTTTGTCAACAGTTCTAATACTTTAAAAGCTCTTCAAATCATAAACGGGTTATCCGGTTTTTTTAATAAATTTTAGGTTTCCAACATCACTAAAGGCCCACGATCAAAAGACATAACGTCCAGTGCCAAATATTTCATGCATTATTTGAAAGACATCTTGTTAACAATACATATAATGTAGATAGGTTCTACAAAAGTATTACGGTTATTCAGGATTTAATACTAGTTGGGATTTTCACGTAAAAAATTTAAGAGCGAGAAAAGACCATTTTTTATGACTTCAGTAAGAAACTACTTCAATCTACGTTATGTAATATGATACCCTTTTAAATAAAATGTGCGGAAATTAAAAAAAAAATGTTGCCTTCAAAAATACAACTTATGGCACCATGAAAGAGTGAAATGCTATAAAGGTTTTAATGCGCAGAGAAAGTGACATTCTCCCTACACGAGGTATCTGTTTTAATATCTACAATTTAACTGAGCATGGCTGCTTACATTTACATCCAACATAGCCGAACGGACACCCCACTTTTATCCAAGTTATACTGTTTGTTTAAAAAAGACATAAAGTACTTTTTTTTTATTTTGTAATGAAATAGTAAAATGAGTTAATGAAAAAGCAATAAATAACATACGTATTTATAATATGGACACGAATGATAGTTCCAATTAAAAAAAAAATAAGCTTCATATGGACATGTTTGGGGGGTTGGACACGTTTGGGTGTTTATTAAAAAAATGGACACGTTTAGGCGTTTATACAAATGACAAGCTTTGGAGCCCTTTTACAACTAGACATGTTTTGCAGTTCAGTGACGTCAATGTGGACACGTTTGGGGGGAAGGACACGTTTCTGAGTGTTACATATATACTCCGTATGCATGCGCTGCTGGAATATTATAATAAACTATTTTTTTGGAAATTCTTTAAAACTAATATAGTTTGTCTTTAATGGTGTGAGATAAGAAACAATATTTTCAGGTTGTTATAACACATATAAAATGTTATGTTTTCTTTTGTTTAATCTATACAGATGCGTCCCGAATGATCAAAGATCTTTTGCTATTGGTTTACAGGTGCTACTTGTTCGTTTGTTAGGTAAATATTATAATATCAATAGTAGTGGACAAATGTTGAGAAAAACATAACAATTTAGATACAAAAGCAGTAGAATAGAAGACAGATTTGTAATTTTTATAAATGACTTTGAAATGTGACAAACTGGGCCACGATTCTCTGTTATAAATCATTTTAAAAAAACCCTCCATTTTTTGTTTTATTTTACAGAACAATATACTTGAATATCACTTTAGATAACTCTTGGTTCCTCATTTTATACACTCAAATCACTGTTATATTGCATATTCTTACTTTGTGATGCATGTGTAGCACCGTACCTAATTTTAAATTAGAAAATTCATGCAATATTTTTTTTTTCCATATACCTGAACTTGTTGCGACTGACATTGGTACTTCCCCCCATTATATTTGTTATATTTGTATAATGATAGAAATACAATTGATTTTGATAAAACATCTTACAATGTATTGATTGATGCGTTGCAGGTACCACTCCTGGTCCTATATTTGTGGGCGCAATAATTGACAGTTCATGTGATGTATGGCAGAATACATGTGGAGAGCAGGGATCTTGCTGGATTTATAACAAGTCAGATTTAGGACTTCGTATAATGGTTTGGTGGATATGCTTAAAAGTGTTGGGATTTATATTCTTATTCTTAGCAGCTAAATTTTATAAACCTCGAAAAGAGAGTACAGAAATAAAGGTCTCACAACCAGAAAGTGACAAAGTGAAAAATAAATTTGACATAGAGGAAGAATTTACAAAGCTTTGATTCTTAATCGAGGCATTTCATACGAAAAAACTGTCAATCATACATGATAAAACATGCATTTTTCTGATTGATTAAAGAAAAAGATATGTAAGGACGCTTACGGAATGGACTTTGATATTAATGCAATATAAAAAAAACTTTTGAAATTCTAAGTGGCTATACTTTTTGGTCGTTTTTGTTTATAGCTATTCATCCTTTCTTATAAGTCTGGATTTTCAAATATTTTGGCCTCGGGCATCACTGGAGAGACAGTGATTGTCGAATTGCGCATCAAGTGTAGCAAAATTGGTACCGTTGATGTTATTAAGATAAAGCAGATAGGAACATTCTAATTTAAAAAATTTCATTTCCATTTTGACATTTTTTACTAACAACTTGACATTTCTCAGTTTCAAAAAATTAAAACAACTAGAGTCTGTGTCGCTCACCTTGGTCTATGTGCATATCAAACAAAAGATACTCTCCAACGTAAGTGACGATAATTGACTTCATGACAATTATTTCTATTTTGTTGATCTTGTATTACTGATCTTTTTATCTGTTTAGCTTCTCTCTATCTTTTTTAGTTTTTTCTCAAAACACAAAAGAGGGTAAAAGAAATCCTCATTTAAGGGCATTCACTCCCATGAAGAATGACAGTCTACTAACTATAACGGCATTTAACTTTTTAATAGATCTTGCCTTGCTGATAATATTTGTGATCTAAAAGTGTTTATTTTATGGGAAAAATAATAATATGATAAGTTAATGTATCAATAATTGGGATCCAGCAGCCAAAACTGTATAAGCATGGATCAAAGACATACAACACAACTGCCATATTCAGTTATAATACAAAAATAAGGGGATGTTGCATGATTGCCAATGAGACATTCATACACAAAAGTTCAAATAGTCATAATTATAAATTAACTGTTTACAAAACTTTGAATTTTTGAAATACTGAGGCTTTTCTACCTCAGCTGTAATTTGCAAAAAAATATCGAGCGTCACTGATAAGTCATTTTTAGACGAAACGCGTGTCTGGCGCAAATACATAATTTCAAACCTGGTATCAATGATGAGTTCATTTCTATGTATGTTGGTGTTTGTTTTTGTTGCACATCAGTGTTTCTGTTGTTATGTTGTTTTCCTCTTATAGTTAATGCTTTTCCCTTGGTTTTAGTTTGTTACCCGGATTTTGTATCCTCTCAATCGATTAATGATTTTTTGAACTGAACAGCGGTATACTACTGCTTCCTTTATAAAATGAATTTGGGTATACAATAAACAAAATAAAGAAAAAAGGAAATGTAATTATCAACAAATATGTCTTTATTGTGACCTTTAATTTCAGTATCCATTGCAAAATCAATAAAATCATTGAATTTATTCCGTATCTTATCACAAAACGTAAAAAAATCTTGGGGCTGCGAGACGACTTAATTTGTTTAAAATTGGTATGGACGTATACTGTTACATGTAATGCAGGGCAAGCTCATGTTGATTAGTCACATACATATGTTATAATGGCATATTTGTCCAATTTCTGTATTGTACCTTCGATATTTGTTCACCTAGATACATGAAATTAATTGAAACTCGAAAATCAATACATTTTCTGAAAAATCAACATGAGCTTGTCCTGCATTAGATAAAACAGTATACATCCATACAAATTTTAAAAAAAATTAAGTCGTCTCGCAGGCCTCCAGATTTTTTGAAAATTTAGTGTTCACCCCAAGAACCGGTTTGGCCACAGCATAACAATTTCAAGTTTATTTACAATTTACACAGTGTGTATATGTTAAGTATGTTTAAATGAACATATGTTCTCATAGTTTAGGACTTTACTCATTATAGGTTGAAAAATACAGGCAAAGTTTAGATGTTTATGAAGTGTCCTATATTTTGACTTTAGTGGAACCCTAAATATACGATGAACAACGTCACCTCTTTAAAAAATTGGAGATGGTTTAACGTGTTTGATAGGATTTCAATAATTACAGAAAATTTTGCAGACCAAATATTGTATCATTTAAAAAAAATTAGAAAACTTTTCGCTATCACAATCACTGTCTTATAGTGATACATACGTTGAATATTAATACGTCAATTGTTATCAAAGGTACTAGGCTTATAATCTAATACGCCAGACGCGCGCTTCGTCTACTTAAGACTCATCCGTGACGCTCAGATCAAAATAGTTATAAAGCCAAAGAAGTTCAAAGTTGAAGAGCATCGAGGACCCAAAATTCCATCACCAATTCCAAGTCAGACATTGGAATAGCAACGAGCTGGGAAGTCTACACACCGTTACAAGTGTCTAAGAAACATTACCATCTGCATAAGAAGACAAAAAATGGAAGACGAAAATTCCTCTTTTGACCAAAACAGCGGTGTACTACTGTTGCCTTTATTTGTCATAAATCTTGAAATAGTTTTCTTTAAAAACTGAAGTATGTAAATAAAAAAATAATAACTTCGATCTTGTCATTCAAATTCATCGAACCCTTAGATAAATTTTTGCAGCATGATAGTAAAATTCGAAATTATTTAACTCTATAAGTAAAAATATCATCATGGTATTGGTATTAAAGCAGATAAGTGTTTGCCCAGTTGAACAGTTTGGTGTGATATAACAAATTGCAATTTGGTTAGAATTTTGATGAGCTGCAAAACGTGGAGAGCAGGTCTTACAGTTAAATCAAAGTAAATGAAATTAAGACGGATATTTCAAGTTTACTTCATAATAATACAGGAACAAATCTGCTGTTCAAGGGATACATTTGGTTTCTATAGTAATACATACAACCTGTCAATAAAACCCTTAAATGACGAAATCTTCAGAGCTAATGTTAAGGTTTAAATCGTTAGCTTTTATCATCTCATTACACTCCAGGAAATATATGGCATATTAATTGTATCCATTTTGCAAAGTATTCATAATTCGAAATACTAAGAAATTTTAATATCCCAGGCATAGATTAACTTAGACGTATTTTTGCACAACGTTTTGGAATTGTGAATCCTCAATGCTCCTCAACTTTGTATTAGTTTGGCTTTCTAACTTTTTTGCTCTGAGCGTCACTGACGAGTCTTGTGTCGACGAAACGCGCGTCTGGCGTATCAAATTATAAGCCTGGTACCTTTGATAACTATTGGTGATCGATTTGCACATGCTTGAGAACAAAGAAGGCTGATATACAATATATTTTGTGTTACACACGAAGGCGGGTTGATTCATTTATATCAATTAAGACTTAGAATACAGTGGAACTTGCCTAATCCGACATACCGGGGGACCAGAAATAAATGTCAGATTAAGCAGGGTGTCGGAATACTCAGGTTTTTTCTGCAAGGATAGGCATATTTTGGGACCATGAAAATGTGTCGGTTAAAGCAGGATGTTGGAATACTCAGGTGTCGGATAAGGCAGGTTACACTGTATTTGGTTTTTGAGAATAACATGTTTATTATTCAACAGCAATTGCTCAATTACTGGTTTCTTCTTCTAATGTTTCTGCGTTCTGTATTTGTTATGTTTAGCTGTGGATATATAATGTACGTACATGAGTTATTACCCTGTGTAAGGCAATACTTTTAATTGTTATTTTTTGTTATGATTGAACTACAAAATATTAATTTGATGTAGCAAGAATCAAATTTGTGAAGTTCATCAAATTGTTGTTAATATTTGATAAGTTATATTTTACTTGCAAATTACATTCATAGGTTTTTAACAGTTCAATTCATACATAAGATTTATTAAAACATGGAGATAGTTATACATTTCTTTGCATGAACAGTTTGTGATATTCAAACAGAAATAATGGACACAAACTATTTACAGGACGTGTTCTGCTTAATAATTTTTGCGGCAACCTATTTCAGTTTCCTTGGTAAGTATTCTATGTTTTTTTCCCAAGTTCACATCTCATAACGTAAAAAAGACTATGTAAAATTAAGAGCTATATAAATGCATAAAGGCAACAGTAGTATACAATCGTTAAAAAGTCACAAATCGAGAGAAAACAAATCCGGGTTACAAACTAAAACCGAGAGAAATATTTTCAAAGGTATCAGGCTTATAATTTCATACGTCAGACGCTTGAATGACTCTCAGATCAAAACAGTTGCAAAGTATTTCGAATAATTCTTACTTTTGCAAACAGTTAATTTGTAAACACGTCAACTATAAGTGGAAAACAAAGGTGCAACGGGAACACTGAAATGTAACAAACATTAACGCCGACATACATACAAATGAAGGAAATGCCTTTACCAAATCAGGAATATGACAGTCGTTATCCATTCGTTTGAAGTGTTTGAGCTTTTGAAATTGCAATTTGAATACGGACTTTTCGTTTTGAATTTTCCTCGTAGTTCAGTATTTTTGTTATTTTACTTTTTGGTACAGGACATGTTAAAAATAAATGGTGGATTGAACCTGTTCAAATGGCTAGCAAAACCTCCCACTTAAATAAAACAAAACCTCCCGCTTTATAAAATAGACAACAGAATAGTTCAATTTACCTAAATTTACCTATGGTCAACTTTGTTTTTAAGGCCAACAAAGAGTTGGAATTTTAGTTCATAGCATTTCTAGATTTCAATTTATGAACTTGGCAATAAAATTTGTCCTTATGAAAAAGTATGATGCCTAATGTTTTACTATATTGTATGTACCATCAGTTACAAACGCTTTAAATTGCCTGGGTCTTTGTCAGATTTTTTTATTGTAAGTTTAAAGTCATTTCTGTGATTTATTGTAACACAGTTCTATATTTGTCATTTTTGGGCATTTTATAGCTGACTTCTAGTATGTGGTATGGACTTTACTCATTGTCGAAGGCCGTATAGTGACCTATAGTTGTTAATTTCTGTGTCATTTTGTTCTCCTGTGGAGAGTTGTTTTATTGGCCATCAAACTACACCTTCTTATTTTTATACTAATTAAAAAATTAATTTTAACTCGAACTGTATGTACGTACTTACTGAACGATAAACCAATGTATGTT